GGACCAGACAAAGTTTTTTCTGATCAGGCCATTAAAAAAGGAATAAACACCTTAACATAGTGTTTGACACACTAGTCTAGTAAGAGAGCCCTTGACTTCACCTTAGGACCAAGAAAGCACTTCAGTCTAAAAACCCTGGCTATGTTCGGATTCTCAACCCTTCTTCCTGAAGTATGCACTCATTCAGATTGCTCATGTCCTCCCTCCTAGGCCTAGCTTCAATCAGATCAAACGTACACCACCGGCGATAGCCGACACCCGCATAGCTGATGTTTTGGCGGTGTCAAATCAGTGAGCAGCTGCCCAGTTTTTTGGGGCTGTTCGTGCACACAAAATCATTCTTGAGGCAAGCCGAAGTTCTGCAGCCGAAGTCTATGCCCCTTCGTCGGTGATTGGTCAACAGTATTACTCCTAGTAGGAGTCGGAACCAATGACGTTTATAAACCCTGGATTGCTGATGCTATGTATTGGCCATTGAGAGGCTTTGAAGCCACCGGTCGGCCATATTGGCACGCCCTAGTAGCAGTCCTCCATAGGAATTAATGGAATTCTACAGTATTTCTATTTAATGTTTCAAGGACAAAATTAAATGTATTTGTGTTGTTGTTTTTTGAAGTGGGGACAGCAACATTAGTACTCCAAAAAAAAAGACTTCAAGGAAAATGTTTTATTTTTTATGTTTAGCTCACATAACGTGTCAAATGAATGTAGACATTAATAAATGCATTTCTATAGCTTCCAAAATATATTTTACAATTGAGGAGTACCCCCAAGATGGCTTCAATACAGTGCCCTCTGTCAGTCATCCCGGGTTTATACAAATAATTGGTGGGAACTAGTGAAGACCACTCTAAAACGGGATTCTTCAATGAAGTGTTTGTTGTCATTCAAAGAGAGTGACAACTAGTTTTCATGCACACTTTTTCACTTGAGAATTACTACCCCAAACATCTTAATTAGATGTAAAATTAAACTACTAAGAACTCGTCATTAAACGTCAACATTTATTACACATTTCTTGACTATTTTGAGGAAGTTGTTGATACGTCAGCTCAAGAGGTAAAAACAGTAATGTATACGTTTTGTTGTTTTTCAAGCGGAGGTCTTTTAAAGGAGTATGTGAGCACACACGTTCGTTTCGCCTAGCCAAGTTCTGCGAGAAGCAAACAGAACCTATGTATGCGGACACTTTAAGAATGCATCTGCTGTTACTCCACCAGAAACTGTCAGGACACACACGAATGGACACTATCAACACCATCAGTTAAACATAAATCTATCATTTTTATGGTTAGCTGGACCTTCTAGCTAATTTTTAAGTCCAAAAATGGATGTAACAATTCCAGATTACCCTTTTTTAAAGCAATCCCTGATAGAAAGTGAACAGGTGCACACTTCAGAGAGTATAGGGATAGAACTCCATGTGAATCTCTGTGATTTAAGGCTATGGTGTGTATAAAACCTAACCACCATAGTCCTTAGCTTTACTTTAACAAAAGAAAATGACATTTTCAAAATCCTTATATATAAATCAATGAATGCATCGAATTGCTGAGCGATTGCAGTGAAAATAATCAGCAGGTAAAAGCAAAAGTAAAGTTATTAGTCACCTCAATTTCTGTCACCTTATTCTACAACAGGCCAGCACCCCCGGCTATAACAGTCGAAGGGAAGACTTCTGCTGTCTCATTATATTAGCTTGCATTAATTACATGCTACAATATCAATGCATTATCAATAACAAATCAATTAAATATTAAAGTTGGACCACTGAGTAAAGATAAATAAAATAGATAATACAACATGATTAAATAAAATAAATATGACTATTACATTCACCTTGGCTGTGTTCAGTTGAGCACAATGTAGCAAAATGTTTTGCAACACAAAATAATTGAGAATTTTTTTATGGAACAAGTTCAGGTACTACCACCATTTTTTACTCATCCTGTTAAAAAAAAATATATCCTGTCTTGTGCCAACTGAACACACACCTAGCTAAGTATTTTCTTTGAAAACCAAAAACCTGTCAAGATGCTGCTCTTTCAAATATCTATTGCATAAAAGTAACATAACAAAAAAGGTGTATTTTAAGAGTAGAAAAAGATGTCATACACATTCATTATTTCTTCATCGCCAGTCATTTCAGGAATTGAATTGCATTCCTATGGAGACATTCTTTGTCCAATTCAGCAGAACATAAGTAAACAGAAATTGACCCGAGTTAGGTATGACGTTTCACTGTTCAAAACAAATACCTCAGAAAGTGCTATTGAGAGCAAATCATACACTTAGGTTGGAGTCATTAAAACTAGTTTTTCAACCACTCCACACATTTCTTGTTAACAAACTATAGTTTTGGCAAGTTGGTTAGGACATCTACTTTGTGCATGACACAAGTAATTTTTCCAACAATTGTTTACAGACAGATTATTTCACTTATAATTCACTGTATCACAATTCCAGTGGGTCAGAAGTTCACATACACTAAGTTGACTGTGCTTTTAAATAGCTTGGACAATTCCAGAAAATGATGTCATGGCTTTAGAAGCTTCTGATAGGCTAATTGACATCATTTGAGTCAATTGGAGGTGTACCTGTGGATGTATTTCAAACTCAGTGCCTCTTTGATTGACATCATGGGAAAAAATCAAAAGAAATCAGTGGGAGCAATTTCCAAACGCCTGAAGGTACCACGTTCATCTGTACAAACAATAGTACGCAAGTATAAACACCATGGGACCACACAGCCGTCATACCGCTCAGGAAGGAGACGTGTGAAAAGTGCCAATCAATCCCAGAACAACAGCAAAGGACTTTTTGAAGATGCTGGAAGGAAACAGATACAAAAGTATCTATATCCACAGTAAAACGAGTCCTATATCGACATAACCTGAAAGGCTGCTCAGCAAGGAAGAAGCCACTGCTCCAAAACCGGCATAAAAAAGCCAGGCTACGGTTTGCAACTGCACATGGGGACAAAGATCGTACGTTTTGGAGAAATGTCCTCTGGTCTGATGAAACAAAAATAGAACGGTTTGGCCATTATGACCATCGTTATGTTTGGAGGAAAAAGGGGGTTGCTTGCAAGCCGAAGAACACCATCCCAAACGTGAAGCACGGCGGTGGCAGCATCATGCTGTGGGGGTGCTTTGCTTCAGGAGGGACTGGTGCACTTCACAAAATAGATGGCATCATGAGGAAGGAAAATTATGTGGATATATTGAAGCAGCATCTCAAGACATCAGTCACGAAGTTAAAGCTTGGTCGCAAATGGGTCTTCCAAATGGACAATGACCCCAAGCATACTTCCAAAGTTGTGGCAAAATGGCTTAAGGACAACAAAGTCAAGGTATTGGAGAGGCCATCACAAAGCCCTGACCTCAATCCTATAGAAAATTTGTGGGCAGAACTGAAAAAACGTGTGCAAGCAAGGAGGCCTACAAACCTGACTCAGTTACACCAGCTCTGTCAGGAGGAATGGGCCAAAATTCACCCAACTTATTGTGGGAAGCTTGTGGAAGACTACCCGAAATGTTTGACCCAAGTTAAACAATTTAAAGGCAATGCTACCAAATACTAATTGAGTGTATGTACATTTCTGACCCACTGCGAATGTGATGAAATAAATAAAAGCTGAAATAAATAAATCATTCTTTCTACTATTATTCTGACATTTCACATTCTTAAAATAAAGTTGTGATACTAACCGACCTAAGACAGGGAATTTTTACTAGGGTTAAATGTCAGGAATTGTGAAACACTGAGTTTAAATGTATTTGGCTAAGGTGTATATAAACTTCCGACTTCAACTGTAAGTATTTTCTTATAAAAATCTGTCTTTTGTTAAGTCTGTACCACTACTGCAAATGTTTAAATCAATAATACTGTAAATGTAAAGTTACATATGACTACAAAACATTCTGATTATTTCAATCATACAATAGCAATGAGTAGGTTACTTTTGTGCCATTTACAAATGTTTGGAAGTAGAAACCCTGACATTTGGGACGCACTGACATTGAAATGGACTCATTGCTTTTTTGAGATGAAAGAGTTATTCAAGTATTGCATTAAAATTGGTAAAGACAAAATAATTATGTATTTATTTTCTATGATTTGTACCTTGCATCTGGGAAATTGCCTGGATGTGCGTTCACTACTATCAAAATGATTAGAATTGTTAAAAAAGGCAGAATGTTAAGAGTAATTTTAAATAAATAAATGTGACAAGCCATGTAAACTAAGCTGCGTTTTTGAGTAAAGACAATACTCATGGTGTGTGCCTGTCTATTTGGTATTATTGTGTAAGGAAATGGAAATACCTGTACATTACCAAATGCAAAGTACCAAGCATCTCAAATCATATCATGCATCCTTCAATAGGATGCCTATTGGCAAGGTGCGTCAAAACTCTTAAGTCATTCAGACCAACAGAAAATAATAATAATTTACAACCACATTACATCCAATCCTTATCGCAATAAAATATATTAACAATACATCTTGATACTTGCAAAATATACATCCAACCACGTTCTTTCTCAACATAATTCAACCTTTGTATAAGATACAAATAAAACAAAAAAATTAGCTGAGTAAGAGTCCAGTAACACAGGCAGGACTGTTATACACACACACCTTCAAGGTACAATCGGAAATGTCTGTCTGCTGTGGCCAGACAAAACGCAAATAAACAATCTATGCTCAAAAGCACACACGCGCACACACACTTTAATCTTACAAAAATCCATCCCCTCACTCCCACCAGGTCAGTACATTTAAAACAAATCACTATAGATCTTTAACCATACGACCTCTAACCTCGTACTAGACAGAAGCCATTGTATGAAACCACCCTGATTCTGCAAAATAGAGGGATTTATTTAGACTGTTCCGTCATGATGTTGAGATGCAAAAAATAAATAAAAAGCTCCTGTATGAAAGCATAGCCTCTCTGAGGTCTGCGGTTGGGGTAGATGGTGGATGGTGAACCCTTCTCATGTGGAGGAGGGGGCCATGTGTCCGTGAACACGGAAGCGGTACACGCACGTGTACTTCAGGTGACCCCAGTTACTCAGAACGCGCAGCTCTACATAGCAATAGACGGCCCTGGTAGGGTTCTGAGAGAGAGAGAGAACGGGAAAGATAAAGAGTTAGCACGAGAAACTCAACTGAGTGAGGCAGATTTCAGCTATAGCAAGCCCCAAAAGTTAAACCTAGCTAGCCTAACCCTGGCTAAGTTTGAATGATGTGACTCACGGGCAGTTGGAAGGTTTGGATTGGCTCTCCATGCTGGTCATAAGTGAAGTTTCCCAGGAAGGTGCCATCTTCTGTCTCGGTGGACATACCCTTCACAGAGAGAGAAATAGACGAGTGAGATCTTTAAGGGAGAAAGCAGTCCTCAGCATACTGCTCCAGACATCTATGTGGGAAATGTCCTACAGAAGATTCTACATGGAATAGGGTGTCAGGAAGTGTGTGTGTGTGGGGGGGGGGGGGGGTCACAGTATCACAGTTAGGTCAGGTGTCAGAGTTGACTCACATAGACAGAGAAGTCCTTGGGGGCGCTGTTGATGCGTCCGGTGGGAGCGGTGGAGACAGGCAGGTGTTCCAGGGTGACGTGGGTGATGCGAATGGGATGAGACAGGGCGATGAATAGGGTGCCCTGCGCACCGTGGAACGCCCAACATTTCCCAGCCTGCACAGATTGGCCCTGAGGGGTGGGACAGGTGAGGTTCATGTTCAGTTAGATTATAAAGTGATGACAAAACACGTTACAAAGAAAGGAGACAGAGAGAGAAAAGGAGAGTGGAGATTCCTATTCCTATTGACCTGGTGGCAACAATCACAACAAAGAAAGGATATAAAAAGAGAGAGAAAGAGGGAGATGTACCTGGATAACGGTGCGGGGGCTCTCAGTGGGGTACCAGAGAGGTACACCCAGGAAGGTCACACATGCCGAGCGGGTACGGTACGTCTCGGAACATCGCGTGCTCACAATGCTGGCACCTTGGGACTCTAAGGCAAAGTCCGGCATCCTGTCAGCCAATGGAGGACTGCAGTCCTTTACAATCTCCTTCACAATCCGTGGCTCATTCTGGGGCACATTCTCATGCAGCCATTTGGCCATGGCCTCTTTGAGCTCGGTGGTCAGGCGTGCGTTGGCTTTGGTGGGGCTGGGTGCTGGAGGAGGCTGGTTCTGGAGAGAGTAGACATGCTGCTCCAGCTACACAACAGACACCAAATCCATTAGGTTAGGAAGGCTCATCATTCACGTTGTGTGCGTCCAAAAATGGCACCCATTCCCTATATAGTGCAGTACTTTTGACCAGGTCACTACGTAGGGAATAGGGTGCCATTTTGGACTCAACCATTCACATTTCAGTTATTTAGCACACACTCTTATCCAATCGCATTAGTTCAGTGCTACAAATTTTACAGAGTTTGTGTACCTGTTTGTGGGTGTGTACATTACCGTAGTACTCTGGTCCTCCAGGGCAGCGACTCTCTGCCAGATGTGTGTGTGTTGGTCCTTGAGGTCGTTCACCTGACTGGTGAAGCCGGCCGTCTGCTGGCTCAAACGATGGTCCCAATCCAAAGGATCCACACTACAATAGAATAGAATATAATACAACTTTGTCTATTTAGTGAGAAACAGAGATGTTTAATCTTCTGCCTTTTAAGGTTAAGTGCCCGCTATTTAAGATTGGATGAAAGACTCAAACTCTGTTTTGTAAACAAGGTTGGGATGTTAGATTGGTTAATAGGAAAAGTACGAGACAATGTTTTAAATCCTTTCAAATCTGCCTAGGGAGCATGGGGCAGGAGCTAGGGGTAGTTTCTGGACGGGACCAGCCACACACTCACCTGTCCACTCTCACTCTCAAGTTCCTCATGTCTGTCCTCACGTCTGTCAAGTCTGTCTGCAGTCTCTCTACTATCTGTTGGGATAGACAAGCACAAAGACCACATCTCAACCCTGTATGTAAATATACAACACTGCTATAGTATAAACCCTAGAAATGAAACTAGCGCTGAGCGATTAACCGGCATTTCGTGTTTTTCCGGTTTGACCGATGTCGGTTCAATTACTTGAATTCCATTTAGTGAGTTTTTTTTTGTGAGCCCAACGCGCCGTTTCTCTAGAGAGAAATTAAATAATTCACGAAAGAAATCAAGTCATGAACTATGTGGGACGCTGGGCTGAATGGACTTTCACTAGGCAAATATTCAACCTAGTTCAGCGCAGAAATGTGGTAATTAACCTCAATGTCCATAACCCATTGTACCAGTTTTTTCCACCTCAGACGGATCAGAGAGGAAGAGGAGAAGCGAGAGGTTTCACTCTCGCCAAAATCTGTCCAAAATAAGACCAATGCGTTTCTATGGGCTTATTTTGGACCTCAGCTTGTCGCCTGCCTTCCCGCCTTTGGGACAACGACTCCCGTTGTTAGGGCGGAGACATGAGCATCTCATCGTTATATACAGACCTCTGGACATGATACACTTTTACATCTGCTACGTTAGGTTAGATACACACAGACCGCATGAGAGAATAATGTACATAACGATGAGAGAGACAGACAGTTTGAAAGTATGCCTAATCTACTTTGAAGAACTAGTCAAATTATATCGTCAGACAGCTCTGCAGCATACTTAGGCAGGCTAGCCAAATAGGATGACTAAAGACAGTACAGTATGGAGAGCACATAATGTTAGATGGCCTGGCTGGCTGACTGCTGCTGCCTGAGCAGAGATGAGATGATTACTTTTAAGGAATGAAAAATAATAAAGTAATCAAATAAAAACTAAGTAATATACACAACTGAAAATGTTTATTATTTCATAGTAATTTCCTATTGATGTCTACCCAATATGGACCTGATCAGAGACAAAGGAATATTTGCTATGTTTTTCAATTGAATGTTCACCATTTTGGGCTTTGGAATTTCCATTAAAAAAGGTATAAAAACATAGTAACGTCATTATTTCATAATGAATTTCATGTTTGAAAAAATAATCAAAACCGTTATAATTTTTTCATTATCAAACAAAAACTGAACTGACCTCAAAAAGCACTAATCGCTCATCACTAAATGAAACCCTATTTGCCAAATACTGCACTACTATAGAGCCCTATAAATGACTCCCTATTACACATATAGTACACTTCTATAGACATCTATAACTGAAACCCTGTTCTCCATACTAGACTGTTATAGAACATTATGACAACCCCATTCCACATAATACTGTAGAGTACTCACCTCGGTAACACATTTCTGCTGGTGGTCCTTCTTAAGTATTTCTATTTCTCTCTGTGGGAGAAACATGCACAAGTCAGTTCACCAAATGAATACACCCAAATGGAGTATAGTTTGTATACTCTCTCTTACCAGAATGGTGTTCATCTTGGCTTCCAAAGCAGAATTAAATACCGAAGCTCCATCCTGCAAAAAGAGTTGACAAACTTGATTGTACAATCCAGGAGTAGGTTACATATGCAGAGCGTCAATGCAGCATCCTACCAAATCAAGAGAAAGATGATAGAGAGATGATTGGCGGGTATGTGGTCCTATCAGATCCTACCATAGCCTTGGGAGGAAGACTGAAGACAGGGGGTGGAGTCGGGGTGATGACTGGACGGTTCAGGGTCAGAGTCAGGGTGGACCATACTAAGGGGGCAAGGTGCCAACAGCCTAGCAAAGAGAGGCAGAATAGACCTGAATAATCCAAGGAGCACAGTATCGTACAGTTTACACAGACAACATTTAGATGTGTGAACATTATTGTGTCTACATTATTGCTCGTCAACAATGGGTGTGTATGTGTTGTACTTCTGTTAGTGCCATTCTATACATTCGCTCAGTGAATCAATCGCCAGTAAGTACTATGGTTAGGCATGTCATGTGTGGACAATTTACTGCTAGCACCAATAAAGTAAAAGTGCAGGTGTACACAGCATGCTGTTGGTTCTTTTCATAGCAGTTCTATATAACTATAGACTGCATGATTATGGGCTGTGATACCACTCACCAAAGGTCAAGAGGATGAGGAGGAAGGCAATTAGAATGTCCTTCCCCACACCGGCAGGGTCAAACGGAGGGGCTACAGGAGGAGACAGAGTTCAAGCTGATGCTAAAGAACAAGCTACAATCACTGAGACAAGCTAATGTTAACAAACAGGCTACAAGCATAGAAACAAGCTAATGCTAACAAACAAGCTTCAAGCATATAAACAAGCTAACGCTATGCTAATGCTAACAAACAAGCACACACCCACACATTACTCACTCCAGCTGGCGCTGGTGCTGGCACTGGCGCTTTTCCTGTTGGTCCTTTGTTTGTCTAAAGAGGAGTATCCAGAGTATCCTTTGGAACGTCTTGTCTCCGAAGAGGAGTAACCAGAGCTGTCCACGGCACTGCTCTGGCTCTGGGCCTGGTTAAGGATGGTCTGGTAGGAGGGGAAGCCCCTGGGGCTAGGAGCCAGATTCAGGCTGGGGGCTGGGGCTGGAGCCACACTGGGAGGCTCCTGGAAGGTCTTCCTCCTCTGAACCAAACTTGAGACCCCTGAGGGGCAAGGGGTGCGGGGAGAAAGAGAGAGTCAGATGGTCAGTTTTGAATAGCCATAATAGATAACTGTAACCATAGACAGTAACCATAGACAGAAAAGGCTACCTAGCTAACGAACAACAACAACAAAAAGCAGCTAACCTAGCTATGTAACTACAATTCAAAGATAACCTAGCTAGCTAGCACACTGCAATAGAACGCTATACAGTCATGGTCAAAAGTTGAGAATTACACAAGTATTGGTCTTCACAAAGTTTGCTGCTTCAGTGTTTTTAGATATTTTTGTCAGATGTTACTATGGTATACCGAAGTATAATTACAAGCATTCAATAAGTGTCAAAGGCTTTTATTGACAATTACATTAAGTTTATGCAAAGAGTCAATATTTGCAGTGTTGACCCTTCTTTTTCAAGACCTCTGCAATCCGCCCTGGCATGCTGTCAATTAACTTCTGGGCCACATCCTGACTGATGGCAGCCCATTCTTGCATAATCAATGCTTGGAGTTTGTGGGTTTTTGTTTGTCCACCCGCCTCTTGAGGATTGACCACAAGTTCTCAATGGGATTAAGGTCTGGGGAGTTTCCTGGCCATGGAGCCAAAATGTTGATGTTTTGTTCCCCGGCCATTTAGTTATCACGTTTGCCTTATGGCAAGGTGCTCCATCATGCTGGAAAAGGCATAGTTCGTCACCAAATTGTTCTTGGATGGTTGGGAGAAGTTACTCTCGGAGGTTGTGTTGGTACCATTCTTTATTCATGGCTGTGTTCTTAGGCAGCATTGTGAGTGAGCCCACTCCCTTGGCTGAGAAGCAACCCCACACATGAATGGTCTCAGGATGCTTTACTGTTGGCATGACACAGGACTGATGGTAGCGCTCACCTTGTCTTCTGCGGACAAGCTTTTTTCCAGATGCACCAAACAATCGGAAAGGGGATTCATCAGAGAAAATGACTTTACCCCAGTCCTCAGCAGTCCAATCCCTGTACCTTTTGCAGAATATCAGTCTGTCCCTGATGTTTTTCCTGGAGAGAAGTGGCTTCCTCGCTGCCCTTCTTGACACCAGGCCATCCTCCAAAAAGTATTCGCCTCACTGTGCGTGCAGATGCACTCACACCTGCCTGCTGCCATTCCTGAGCAAGCTCTGCACTGGTGGTGCCCCGATCCCGCAGCTGAATCAACTTTAGGAGACGGTCCTGGCGCTTGCTGGACTTTCTTGGGCGCCCTGAAGCCTTCTTCACAACAATTTAACCTCTCTCCTTGAAGTTCTTGATGATCCGATAAATGGTTGATTTAGGTGCAATCTTACTAGCAGCAATATCCTTGCCTGTGAAGCCCTTTTTGTGCAAAGCAATGATGACGGCACGTGTTTCCTTGCAGGTAACCATGGTTAACAGAGGAAGATCAATGATTTCAAGCACCACCCTCCTTTTAAAGCTTCCAGTCTGTTATTCTAACTCAATCAGCATGACAGATTGACCTCCAGCCTTGACCTCGTCAACACTCTCACCTGTGTTAACGAGAGAATCACTGACATGATGTCAGCTGGTCCTTTTGTGGCAGGGCTGAAATGCAGTGGAAATGTTTATTTGGGATTAAGTTCATTTTCATGGCAAAGAGGGACTTTGCAATTAATTGCAATTCATCTTATCACTCTTCATAACATTCTGGAGAATATGCAAATTGCCATCATAAAAACTGAGGCAGCAGACTTTGTGAAAATTAATATTTGTGTCATTCTCAAAACGTTTGACCACGACTGTCCAATACTGAGTATACAGTGAAAGTAACTGAGGGAGTGTCATTGGGACTGTGGATGCAGAAAGTGGTGTGAACCGTACCAATGTTGTCCTCAGCATTACTGGGTGGCTCCATCGTGCTAGCCTTGCTGCTAGCAATGCTAGCACTGCTAGCCACGCTGTTGGCCCGGCTGGAGGTACGAGAGGAGGTCACTTTACGACCCCCTGTCTTCCTCTTGGTAAAGACCCTGAGAGAGAGAGAGAGTGTTTGAAAAGGTGTTAAAGCAACTGTATCAGACCTACTGTATTAGGCTATACTGTCCAACATGAAAGACACACACACCTCACAGGGCTCTCCCTGTAGGAAACTGAGGAGGATTCGTCATCCTCGGAGGATTGGTGGTAGTATCCCCCTAAAACCAGCCTCATACTCCGTCGAGACATGTCTGACAGAGAGAGAAACAGAGAAGTGTCAATCCCACATATAGGCTATTTGTGACAAAGCGATTTAATTGGAGGAATCTCTCACACACACACACACACTTTAACATTCATTTGGTTTATAGGTCTTCACACGTAGGACTTTATTTACAGTAACAGTCAAATTAAAGTTGTTAACACAGAGGTTTAAACCAAAAAACTGTTACCAAGAAATAGCCTAGAGCTAGTGGTAGGAGAGCACTCTGGCAGACACTCTCCTGTATAATCTCTAATCCAGTTAATCTACAGCACCTCACACGGCTTTCTCTCCCTCTCACACACGCTCTGGGCATGGCACAACAGGTGGGAGTGTGTGTTACAGTGTGCAATAAAAAGGTTTCTCAGTAGATCTTGTGTAGGCCTGAATATTGTAAGGCCTGAATACAACACAGGTAGCATTTGTATAGTCATATGAAAAGGCTAGAGCTACCAAATCCATTTTACTCAGACAGCACACAAAGCCAGGCTATGTGGGAATGAATTTCAACTTCCAAACAGCGCTAACACTGATTAGAATTAGGAAGCTAATTTGTTTTCAGCAGTTTTATTTCCATGACTGATCAAAACTCGTTTTCTAATGGCGCCCTCTTGTCCTCTGCAGCAGACATATGGTGACAAATATGTTTGTAACATCGAATCGCAATAAAAATCACAGTATCTAATTGCAATATAGAATCATGCGAATCGCAATACATATCGTATCGGCATTTAAGTATCGTGATAATATCTTATTGTGAGGTCCCTTTGCGATTCCCAGCCCTATTACCTTCCTCTGGGTATGTAAAGAAGCTTTAGCTTCACTGAGAGTGGAACATATTGTACTGTAATTCTCTCATATTCCCTTTTTCCACTGAAAAGGACACTGATACAAAATACCCCAAAAAGACACGAACAAACACACGTGATTGTGTCGCCATAACAGCTTGAAGCTGATCCTAATGAGTAAATTGAATGATGTTCCTCCTAGGTCCTCTGTAGCTCAGCTGGTAGAGCCCCGGGACCACCCATACACACACAAAATTTTTAGACACGCATGACTGTAAGTCGCTTTGGATAAAAGCGTCTGCTAAATGGCATATTATTGTATTATTTAGGTGAACTTCAGAGGAGAGAGGGAGGGTTTGAAGTACATATTTTGGCTAGCTAACTTTTTAGATACGTGGTTCTGTGTAGAAATCTAAGAAGATTGCATGGCTCATTTTACAAAACAACGCTTATATAGGCTTTAGCAACTTGCAAGATGGTTGCATCAGCATCACAGTAGTCCTCTTGCCAAGTGGAAATATTTACAGTCTAGCTTCGTTCTAGCCAGCAACATAGCTAGCTAGGTAACCAGCTAGTTAGCTACATTTGATCAACAATCTGCTGCTGGACCTTATCGTCAGACGCTGTCTGTCTCGCGGACATAAACAACAAAAGCATAATCAACAAAATATTTACAAAAAAGTCCTTAATCTGCTTGCTAACTAGTAAGCTTACAGCACATCATGAGTTCACAGCATAACTAGTGCATAAACAAACTTGGTGTAAACAAACGGAGATATTTGTCATGACTTACCACCTTGTTGGGTCGCAGTCATGCGCAAGGCAGAGCGCGAGCTGTCAAACCACTTCCAAATTGTACGATAACTTGGCCAGTTGCAACAATGCAGCCCAATGCATTTCCTACCACTAACCTATCGGCAGAACGGGGTAATAATGAGCCAACCACTTTGTTTTTGCTCTTCGTAACACTTTTACAAACAAATACAATCAGATACAGTATTTCTAGCACAAAGCAAACGGAACTCGAGACACCAACGGTTACTACAAGGACAGCTATATGAAGGTTGCTGTACTGACAGCTTGGAAGAGGAGGAGTCGGCGGGCCAGACGTTGCAAAACACCCTTGCCTCTTGGTTTCTCATCGTTACAACAGAAAACAGGACAATGTGCGCCACCCTGTGGCAATATCGTGTTCTCACAATTAATATTGATAGATGAATCATCGTGGCAACTTTCCATTGCATTTTGCGAGTTAAAATTAATCTAAAGTGTGAGAAAACAGGCTGAACATGCGCATGTAAAATCAGGGACATCACATTTAGAAAATATTATCGTAATCTTATACAATCTTCTCAGTGAAGCAGATACCTGACTTGGGTTGTTGAACCAACAATGTCCATACTTAACTTGATATTGTGTTGTGTTATGTTGTGTTTGATTTTATTCACGCAATTCAGTGTGATGCTTGAGTTCATAATCAGTTGATTATGACGTCAAGCGTTTGTCAGCCGTCCAAGGCAGAAATACACGCAATGAACAGTTTGTGAATTTATTTCTAAATTATAATACCGTAAACCACAAACTTGCAGCAGGGTCTGTGTATTAACATATTTAAGAGTTCGGTAGGCCTACCCTTTAGGAAAAACTCAAATTATTTTATGGGGATAGGCCTACGCCTACCGTTCAGTCCTCATGTTTTTCCACTTTCTCCAAAAGTGATTGTCAGACATAGCCTTGACTAGCTACTTTTCAAAATAGCAAGTATTCCTACAGTAGACCTATTGAGGATGTAAAGTCTGGAAGGGAGTAGGCTAGTCGTTCATGTGCTAGTCGGAACTACTCTGAAATTTAAACTCTGCTGCATGTGCGGGGCCGGTTTAATGCAGAGGCTTACCGGGATTTAGGCAGCCCACATTTTTTAAATAAGAATTTATGTAAAAAAATAAAATAAAAAATAATATATATATATATGTATATAGTGGTGTGAAAGTCTTTGCCCCCTTCCTGATTTCTTATTTGTTTGCATGTTTGTCACACTTAAATGTTTCAGATCATCAAACAAATTTAAATATTAGTCAAAGATAACACAAGTAAACACAAAATGCAGTTTTTAAATGAAGGTTGTTATTATTAAGGGAAAACAAAATCCAAACCCACATGGCCCTGTGTGAAAAAGTGATTGCCCCCTATAACCCCGCCACCCTTAACAGCAACAACTGCAATCAAGCGTTTTCGATAACTTGCAATGAGTCTTTTACAGCACTGTGGAGGAATTTTGGCCCACTCATCTTTGCAGAATTGTTGTAATTCAGCCACGTTGGAGGGTTTTCGAGCATGAACTGCCTTTTTAAGGTCATGCCACAGCATCTCAATAGGATTCAGGTCAGGACTTTGACTAGGCCACTCCAAAGTCTTCATTTAGTTTTTCTTCAGCCATTCAGAGGTGGACTTGCTGGTGTGTTTTGGATCATTGTCCTGCTGCAGAACCCAAGTTCGCTTCAGCTTGAGGTCACGAACAGATGGCCGGACATTCTCCTTCAGGATTTTTTGGTAGACAGCAGAATTCATGGTTCCATTTATCACAGCAAGTCTTCCAGGTCCTGAAGCAGCAAAACAGGCCCAGACCATCACACTACCACCACCATATTTTACTGTTGGTATGATGTTCTTTTTCTGAAATGCGGTGTTACTTTTACGCCAGATGTAATGGGACACACACCTTCCAAAAAGTTCAACTTTTGTCTCCTCAGTCCAGAGTATTTTCCCAAAGGTCTTGGGGATCATCAAGATGTTTTCTGGCAAAAATGAGACAAGCCTTAATGTTATTTTTGCTCAGCAGTGGTTTTCGTCTTGGAACTCTGCCAAGCAGGCCATTTTTGCCCAGTCTCTTTTTTATGGTGGAGTCATGAACACTGACCTTAACTGAGGCAAGTGAGGCCTGCAGCTCTTTGGATGTTGTTGTGGGGTCTTTTGTGACCTCTTGGATGAGTCGTCGCTGCGCTCTTGGGGGTAATTTTGGTCGGCCGGCCACTCCTGGGAAGGTTCACCACTGTTCCATGTTTTCGCCATTTGTAGATAATGGCCCTCACTGTGGTTCGCTGGAGTCCCAAAGCTTTAGAAATGGCTTTATAACCTTTTCCAGACTGATGGATCTCAATTACTTTCTTTCTCATTTGTTCCTGAATTTCTTTGGATCTCGGCATGATGTCTAGCTTTTGAGGATCTTTTGGTCTACTTCACTTTGTCAGGCAGGTCCTATTTAAGTGATTCCTTGATTGAGAACAGGTGTGGCAGTAATCAGGCCTGGGTGTGGCTAGAGGAATTAAACTCAGGTGTGATAAACCACAGTTGAGTTGTGTTATAACAGGGGGGGCGAACACTTTTCCACACAGGGCCATGTAGGATTTGGTTTTCCCTTAATAATAACAACCTTCATTTCAAAACTGCATTTTGTGTTTACTTGTGTTATCTTTGACTAATATTTAAAATTGTTTGATGATCTGAAACATTTAAGTGTGACAAAAATGAAAACAAATAACAAATCAGGAAGGGGGCAAACACTTTTTCACACCACTGTATGAAAAGGTGTTGGCATTCGGTGCATTCGGAAAGTATTCAGACCCCTTGACTTTTTCAACATTTTGTTAGGTTACAGCCTTATTCTAAAATGGATTTAAGAAATGTTTTTCCCTCAATCTAAACACAATACCCCATAATGACAAAGCAAAAACAGGTTTAGAAATGTTTGCTAATTTATTAAAAATAAACTGAAATAACACATTTACATACGTTTTCAGACCCTTTACTCAGTACTTTGTTGAAGCACCTTTGGCAGCGATTGCAGCCTCGAGTCTTCTTGGGTTTGACGCTACAAGCTTGGCACACCTGTATTTGGGGAGTTCTCCCATTCTTCCCTGCAGATCCTCTCAAGCTCTGTCAGGTTGGATGGGGAGCGTTGCTGCAAAGATATTTTCAGGTCTCTCCAGAGATGTTCGATTGGGTTCAAGTCCGGGCTCTGGCTGGGCCACTCAAGGACATTCAGAGACTTGTCCAGAAGCCACTTCTGCGTTGTCTTGGCTGTGTGCTTAGGGTCGTTGTCCTGTTGGAAGGTGAACCTTGGCCCCAGTCTAAGGTCCTGAGCGCTCTGGAGCAGGTTTTTGTCAAGGATCTCTCTGTCCTTTGCTCCGTTCATCTTTTCG